TGCTGCTGCTGCTGCTGCTGCTGCTGCTGGGGCGGATACGACCGATACTGCTGGTACTGCTGCGCCTGGGCTTGGCTCTGCCCGTGATATGCCGGGTGCGTCTGTGCGGGTGCTGCATGGTGGTACGGCGGCCTGTAATCTGGGAACGCATGCGCGGGTCCATTGGTCGACGCCGCCTCGCTGCTCGCCCCGTGCTGCGGCTGGTGAGCCAGCGGCCTGGCATACGTCGGCAGCGGCGGCGCGCGGTCCTCGTATCCCTGCGGTGGTGCGGCCAAATGTCCGTACTGCGATGAGCCCGGAGGCGCATAAGGATACTGCGCGTGCTGCTCCTCCTGACGATGCCGTGGTGGCGCTGAATGCTGCTGTTGCCCGCTGTACGCATGCTCGTTGGCAGCACGCTGGTGCATGTGGCTCGGCGACGCCGACACGCTCGACCGCGAATATCTCATCGCCTCGGCGTCGTACTCCGCTGATGCATACCCGTAGGCCGCTCTCGGCACGTACTGATGTGCGTGACTGGCGTGCGGCGGCCCACCGTCGTACATGCCCGGGTAGTGCTGGGCGTGTTGCATCGGCCCCGAGGACGGCTGCGGTTGCTGCTCGTGGTACGCACCCGGGTAGTACGATCCGACAGGCTGAGACGCATACGTCGCGCGCGGATCGCGCGGATCGCGCTGGTGAGTGGGCGGTGCAGGCAGCTGAGGAGCGTGACTTTGCCATGGTGCGCCCAACACTGGCGGCTGAGGCGGCTGCAGAATTGCGGGCGCCGATTCGTCGGCTGCTGCCTGGGCCGTCTGCGCCTTCTTCTTGGCGGGCTGTCGCTTGCGCTTTGGCTTGACCGCAGGCCCCGATTCTGCCTCGGCAGCCTCGGCAGCCAAGGACGCTGCGGACTCTGCGGGCGCCTGCCGCTTCACGCCCTCGGCAGAGCTTGCGGCGTTCTGCGCCTTTGCCTCCCGCGCCCTCTTCGCGGGTTGCACCTTGGGAACCGCATCGGAAGACACTGCAATGCTCGCCTCGACGGCGTCCTCGCTACCGGCTCTGGCATTGGCGATCGCTTTTGCCGTCGCTTTCCTCCTGCGCTTTGCTGAGGGCGCCGCATCGGGGTCGTCCTGAGCCGCTGCGCCGACGCCCTGGCTAATGGAATCGGGAGCCGGCTGAGGCTCGGGCTCGGTCTTGACCGCGCTGGGTTCGGACGACTCCAGGATGATCTGCTGGAACTTGACTCTGCTGGGGCGGCCTTCGTCTTCGATGACGATCTCGTCCTCGTCCTCGCGCACCTCGACCATGAGCGCCTGGAACATGCCTCCGGACGTCTTGATCTTGACCATGCTCGGCACGGGCAGCGAGTGGATGCGCTCGCGCAGCTCGTCGGCCTTGCGCGCCTCCTCTGCCTCTCGGAAGAGCGGGTTGTGTGTGCGGCAGAGCACCACGAGGCGTTCCGAGTCGTCGGCTGTACCCTGTGCTTGCTGCGCTTGCGCCTTGGCAGACACCTTCTTGCCCTCGAGGTGGTCTGCAGTGTCTGTGGGGCAGAGATCGACGAACCAACCGTGATCCTCAACCAAGGCGCAGCTGACGTGAGCTGCGCGCGGGCACTTGCCGCGCGTGCACTGGATCTTGGGGTAAAGCTTCTGCAAAATGGGGTTGGGGCAGATCTGGCACTTGAGCGAGAAGCGCGCCTTGTCGATGCCGTCGATGCCGCAGACCATGTCGGCTTTGGCGTGCTTGCCGACCCAAGTCTCGGGGATGAAGCTGGCGCACAAGCGATGCGCGTGACGTGCGGCCATCGCTTTGAGTTTGGCGTTGGTGGAGTCGATGTCGGCGGGTGTGGGGACGAGGTCGTTGGACACGTCGGCTGGACAAAATACGCACGGACTTGTGTGTGCGGCCTTGGGGTCGATGTAGAAGCCGTCGCCGCCTTGGAAGAGGGCAGGGACTGCGGGGCCGCCGGCGGCGGCGGCGGCGTCGTCTGCCTCCTTTTTGAGTTTCCTGCGCTCCTTTGCCTTTTCGTTTTTGAGGCGGCGCTTCTCGAGCTCCTCGTCCTCGATGGCGCGCACCGAGTCTTCCTTTGCACGCCTGAGTTGGCGCTTGCGTTCGAGCTCCTCCATCTCCTTGCTCTCTTCGAGCATGGCGTCTACGTCGATGCGGACGCTGTTTTGGGACTGGTCGCAGTGGCAGTAGTTTGCCTTGCGGCCAATGTCGAGCCAGGAGTCGAGCGCAAAGTTGACGCTCTCTGCGCAGTTGTAGCCGAGGTTGAAGCCGGAATGGTAGCCGTAGGGGTAGGTGATGACAAACTCGCCTGCGTTGTGGACGAGCTTGAGCGGGCGGATGCCGTGGGATGCGAGGAAGGAGGGCGAGGCGAGGTAGGACTTGTGACGCATAAAGTGGGGGCATCGTCGCGAGTCGGAGGGGAAGGCGCCGGCCATGGCGGACTCGAAGCGCTGGCGGTCAGCCTGTCTGATGGCGTACCACTGCTTGGGTGCGCCAAAGTGGATGTAGTTGATCGAGTAGAGGTCCATGTCTTCGACATGCCAGGCAAAGGTGGCGCGCCACATGCCCCAGTAGAGGTAAGGCGTGTTGACGCCGGGCAGTTTGCGCTTGAGACGCAGACGGGTGAGGACGTTGTCGAGCTTGCCGACGTTCCAGTGCTGGGTGGTGTCGTTGAAGAGCGTACCCTTGAGGTCTGCGCCGTACATGGGCGGTTTGCCAAAGTTGAGGCTTCTCCAGTACTCGCTCTCGATCTCTCGACACACTTCGGGCGTCCAGTCGGCCGGCGAGGGGAGCGAGGGTGCCGATGGGGTTTCGGCTGCCTCGACAGGCTGTGACGGGGAAGAGGGAGCGGCGTTGAGCCTTGCGAGCTGGTCGGGGGAGAGCGCCTCCTTGAGCCAGCAGTTCTTGTAGTCGAACGCGCGCCATTCCTGTGGCGTGACGGCGTCTGCTTCCCAGTTCTTCTTTGGCTTTACGGGGGAAGCGTCTCTGGAGGTGGACGGTGTGTTTGCGGCGGATTGGTTGTGTGCTGTGCGAAGCGAGCGTCGTTCTGGGGAGCTGGGTGCTGAGGCTGGCTCTTGGGACTGGGTTGGGTCTTGGGTGTCTGCACGCTTGCGCTTTTGGGGGTTGGATCTGGACTCTGCTGGTGTGGTTGTGGCAGCTGGTGTGGCAGCTGGTGTGGCAGCTGGGCGCGCCTTGCCGCTGCGGGTGCGTACGCCGTCCTCGTCGAGGATGGCGGCGGGAGCGGAGTCCTTTGCGCCGATGGATCTGGGGCCCCATCCGCCGTTGGAGACGCCTTCGACTTCGACCTTCCACTTCATGCGATCCATCTCGGGACCCTTTTGACCGTCTTGGATGCAGGATTCGGCCCACTGTTTTGCGTTCCAGATCTTTGCGGTGCGGGTGATGTTGGTCTGACGCCAGACGCCCGAGCCTGCGGGGGTGAAGTGCTGAGAGATGGCGTTGCGGATGCGGACCTTGGAGATGTCGGCTGGGTCTTGGTCTTGGTCTTGGTCTTGGTCTGTTGTGGCGGTGGAGGGTGGACGGAGGTCTGGAAGTGCGTCGCGCCACTCCTTGGGCGGGACGACCTTGACGATGCCGGATTGCATGCCCCAGCTGTCGATGGCCTGGCAGAAGGCGTAAAAGTCCTGGAACTGCTGCATTGTGGGTTCGAATACGGGGATGCCGTCGTGTGCCGAGGATGCGGAAGCGTCGGTTGGGTAAAAGTACGCGGGTTGGATGTCGGCCAAGGGGTGCTGGTCGTCGTGGGATGGCGGCGGCGGTGGTGGTGTTGCTGGATGTTGTTCCACGTTGGCCGGTGTGGTTGGGCGCTTCATGGGTGCGGCGTGGGCATGGTCCGAGGCGGCTGCCGAAGTGGCCGGCGTGGACTGGCGGCTAGAACCGGTTGGGGCGAGTATCGGGGAGTGAGCATCGGATGGGGAGGATGCAGAGGCTGATGGGGCTGATGGGGCTGACGGCGCTGTGGTAGCAGTAGTAGCAGTAGTAGCAGTAGTAGCAGTGTCGAGGGGGTTAGGGGTCGGTTGTGTCGACGATGGCGGCGTGGTCGAGGTGGCTGCCGTGGCCGGCTCGGCCACCGACATGTTTAGAAGGGGCCCAGCGAGGGAGCGATGAAAAAGCGGCTATGGGCGAGGGTGGTGTATTGAGTTGAGGCTGCGCGATTTCGATATGCCAGCAGTCGAGAAACGAGCGAGCGAGAGAGAGAGAGAGATGAGAGGCGAGAAAGAGAGATGATGGAGCAGAGCAACGACAGCCGACCGACCATCAACGGCGCATTGGCCTTTCGGACAGACTCCGACGCTGACTTTTTTTTGGAGTGAGGATGCATGCGCGCACCTTGTCAGCCCTGATGCTCTGTGAACAGCAAAGGCGAGGAAAAAGCTGAGCCGAAAAAGCCAAAAAAGCATAATAAAAGGAGCGCGGGAAAACGGCGCTAAAAGTCACTCATCACAGCCTTGACACACGCAAGTGCCGGTGAGATGACTGTACAACTTCGGAGGAGGGCCGAACTCGGAGCAGCTTTCGAGCAGAGTCAGGATCAAGTGTGACGAGCAAAGGAGGGGGCCAAGGGCGACTGACTGCATTTCCGCATCACCAAGAGGGCCGAGAGAAGGCGAGGGCGCTGCGCATAAACCCTGCGTGCGCATGCGCAGATTCATCCGCGCTCGGCAGAGTGGCCCCCACGAGAGAGTCCAAATGCGCGCGGGATCGCGAGACGGGGTCCAACCCCCACCCAAAACCAATTCCAAGCCAAAGTCGGGCGAGCTGGCAAGCCGGGGTGTTCTGGGTCTCTCGGCCGAGAGAAGTGACGTGTGGTGGAGGAGGGTGCGTGTGTGACGAGAGCGAGTGTTGTTCTCGCGGTGATTCCGACGTGCAAGACGCTCATCCCCACGCCTCGTCCCCACGCCTCCCTTCCGCCATCGCTCCCGTGCTGACTGTGCTGACTCGGCTTGGCGGCGCTTCCGATCGATTGGAGCCATGGACGATCTGCTCGACCTGACGTGGCAGCCGTCGAGTGCTTCCCACAGCTCGACTCAGCCATCCCAGCCATCGAAATCAGCATATAAACCACCCAACTACCACACGCCCCCACTCTCCTCCAGCCCGGCTCCTGCTCCTGCTCCCTCCAAGGCGGTCCCAGCTCCAGCTCCAGCCACAGCCACAGCCGACACCGACGCCTTCTCGTCGCTCTTTGCCCCCTCCTCCTCTTCTTCCACCAAGCAGCAGGCCAATCTCAGCCTCGCCCAGCGTCAGCAACTCGCCCAGCAACAAGCGCGCAACAAGGCGGACGACGAAAAGCGCAGGAACGATGCACTCTGGTCCGGTATCGATTCGTCCGCCTGGATCCAGCCCGCCGCCGCCTCTCGCCCGTCGAGCGCGGCAAACGCAGCCAGGCCCACCACGCAGCCATCGGATCCGTGGGACTTTGACTCCTTCACCGCTCCCTCCTCCAAGCCGTCAGCGCCCGCACTAACCACGACCCAGCCAACGCCCACGAAATTGCATTCGACCACCGCCGCCGCCAACAACGACCCGTTCGACTTTGATGGCTTCCAACCCTCCCTCCCAGCCCCAACCGCGGCGCACGTGGACCAGTCCGACGACATTCTCGGCGCACTCGCCATGCCCGTATCCGAGCTCAAGCCTTCCAGACCACACGACCATCGCGTCGCGGCGCTCTCCTCGTCTGCCTCGGCATCGTCGTCGGCAGACAGCTCTAGGGTCCCCTCGCCAGCCAGCGGTCGTCGTCCC